AGTGAGCTATTCCCTTCCATCACGCCCTCTTGTCTCATCTTTTTTAAAGCTTGGTGTTTATGACCCTTTAGTTATCTTTGAATTGGGTTCTGATTTTGTTGCAGTATTCAAACGATGAAATTGCATAGAACACGTGTTTACTGTTTAATGCAGAAAGATATAAAAGCAATAGGGCAAACTAGGCATGAATTTGTGTGACAGCAAAAATAGCCAATGCAAAAATAGCCAGAGCTACATATTTTTGGTAAGTCACCAGATCATGGAACAGCAAGGTTGCTCTCTAAGCAGTTCTCAAGTGACTAGACTGCACGTTCACAGCTGCAGCCACATATAACCAGTAGGTACTCATTAGGGATAACTCAAAGAGCAGCAGGACAGGCACCTGGAACTACTCATGAATGAAACTTCCTCAGGAACTGAACAGTCGTCTTCCCACTAGAGATGGTCCCTTCAGCCAAGGGCTGAGGCACCACTAGCAGGTCCAAGGAAGGAGAGAGGCTTCCCTGCCATTTCTACTTGATACTTGAAAAAACCAACAGCAACATCAGTTATAATGTAGTCATAACTTCTCATGAGCAGTAAGGTAACACAATTTACAAAAAAGGAAATTAAACCAAAAAGTTCATTTTATCTCTAGATTTTAAGATGCAGACAGAATTGGCAAGCCCAATGATAAAAGTGCTCCCACCTCACCATCTCATCTTAAGTGCTTCAATTCTATTTATTTTGTTAAAACTAGACAAGATAGAAAAGAAGTGAAAAAAGAAACTAAGTGAAAGGAACCATGAAAAAAATATTGATGCAAAAATCAACAACTGCTTGGTGTCATTTCACAAACAATATGAGATTAATGAAGTGAAGTAATGCTAATAAAAGACAAATCTGGAAAAAAATAAACTTCTTAACATTCCAAATCAGGAACAAACTTATATTTGCACATGCATCTATAGAGCTATATACACACTTATTTATGAAGTCTTACAAATCAACTTCTCCTTGATTCGCTTGCCAAGGTCTGTGAGAGTCCAGTGGCACTTAAAAAAATCATTCCTGAATAAATGTACCAATTAGAATAATTAGCACCAGTATTGTCATATCTATTTGTCAAGAAAAAAAAAATACAATATTTCCTAGAGTATACAATATTTCGCAGAGAACGTTTAAATCGCGTATATTTTTCCCTTGTATGACTGTACCATCAGCCATATTGCAAAATGTAATTTAATACACAAGTTAATGGACTCTGTATACACTAGCATTTTTTGTGCGTTTGCTTTTCCTTGACACAAATATTCTCTGAATCCTGACAATATTCTTGAAAAAAGTATTTGTTAGTTCCTCCATTCTGCTACCAATAAATTTGTCTCTCACAGATTTCCAAAGCCATACTGCTCATCTTTCAGAACAAAAACAAGGATCCAAAATAACACAGGTGAGGCCATGATTCAGCCACGCATTTAAGCTCATGTTTCATTTTAAATACATGCTTCAGTCCTATTATTTCCAATGGAATGAAAGCAAGTGCTTTACCATGTTGAACCTTCTTCCGAATCTTTACTTAGGCAACATTCCAGTTAATTCCAATTTAAGTTTTAGTTGGGTAAGTAATGCAGGATTGTACCCTGTCTAATTGCAGTCCTTAAAATTACCCAGTCTTTTTTTTTCATTTTAAAAGGCCTCATATTTACCTACCAAGTCCAGAGTTCAAGACAGAGTTTCTTCTGCAATAGCCAGTGACCATCAGATGCTGGGCTTCTTTTCACATCTACATTATGCATGTAAGATTTGCAGTGTCTGTGGGAACAACAGAGAATTCTGATTTCTAGTTGGGGTAGCCAGGACGGAACATTCCCCCCAACGGGCTCATTCTGTTCATGCCTGCCTATGCCACCTAAATGTGTCAGGTCCAGAAGCACTGCTGCGAAGCACAACCATCCCTTGCTCCCACTTTGCACATACCAAATGCTGGAGAAAAGTAAATGCCCTGCAAGTAAAGTAGCACTGAGCACATACATACTGGTACCCCTGCCTGTGACTGACACAAGCACTGGACATGCCTGAGTGCAGACAGTTGTTAGGTTACATTTGTGGAGGGCTGTAGTGCAGAGAGGATGTGCAATAGATGGAGGCAATGTAAACATGTCTTCTTGATATCTATGGTATCTCAGTCAGCAGAGTGGGCAGCCCTTCCCAAACAATCATTAAAAATTTGGCTATGTCTGGACCAATTGGACCCAGCTATTTTCTCATTACCCTAAACAGGCACTTACATTCAAGGTGCAGTCAGCATTTTATAATCCCCTTACAGGTTAAATCCAATTTGCAGTTGGTCTTAAATCAAATGCTACTTAAGACCTAGAAAGAATAAACAAATCAACCCAAAGTAAAGAATGTAAACTTCTTCCTTCTAGTGACATAAAATAAAAAGTCAGACTGGTAGGTCTTGTGAGACTGTTGCAGCTGTAAAGCCTACAAGCTAATTGCCTGTTGCTCCCTGCCTGTCAGTTCCTGGAGTTCCTCAAATTCTTTGGGCCCACCAAAGCTTTACACAGAAGGACTGTCCCTTTGTTATAAAAAACAGTGAGGGGATCAGTTTTTATTAGCAATTTGGAGGGCCTTAATAAGTGTAACAACATTTGCAGCAATGCACTCTCTCCATTTCCTCTTACATGTTTCAAAGACATCCCCGCCACTTCAGAAAATACTTCTGAGGTTGTATGCAGAGTGGAACATTTGATAAATGATCCCTCATGCTCCATGTATATTTGAGACCCACACTCAGAGCCAATTCCTTTAGCTTTCTGGTTTACTTCACTTCAGAAGGTCATGCATTGTAAGAGTTTTAGATTTTCCACCTCCAGGAGCTAACAGATTTCACACTGATGTAAAATATTCTAAACAATTTACACAAATGAGATATTAATGCACAAATGAGATAACAGGAAGACTGACTTAGAGACTGGTCCTTTAAACCTCTAGACCTGCAGTATCATTTCAAGCTGCATCACTAGTATGTTCATCGGTGTGATCAGTTGATTGTACAAGGGACCATCCCAATGTTTGAGAAAATTTTGGCCGTGGGTACTTGGCCAAATAAAATGGAGCGAAGCTCGTCTCAGATACTATAGGGGTCTGCATGCAATCCCATGAGTTAACACTTACCTTAACTCATTTAGGCACGTTTTCAGGTATCGCCAACCTCAGGCCTGAGCAGATAATTAAAGAAGGCTTTGATTTTGACTGGGGTTTTTTAAATTATCATTATTGATAATTGAATGTCTTCATCACAACTCAGAATGTAGCTTTATAGGACTCCAAAACACAGAAGAAATATTACCATTTTAGAGCAGGTGAAACTGGTCACTTAAACAGTAAAGTTTAAGTGAGCAGACTGAAGACATAAGGATTTACTTTCCAGATGTACTATTACCATCCAGAAATGTCTCCCTCCTAGTTCCAGGCTACTGATAGCAAACAGAGCTGATGCTACTTGCTCAGCAGGGTCTGCAACTGAGGGACAAGCAGTTGACTTGCATAGGGAGTACAGCATCCCGGGGGCCATCTCATTGGTAGCCTGCGTGGCATCTTTCACCACAATCTGAAACTATTCCAGTGTTCCTCCCAGAGACAGTCTCTGTAAACGTTTGATTGCACAATCCCATAAAAAAGCAATCCAGGTGGACTACCCAAGAAGTCAATGAGGCATAACCTTTAGGAAGAGATAGTATGGGGACTGCAAAAACCAAAACCAAAAACCCAGCCACCTTTCTACAACTGAGCGACAAGCACCATCATCTCCATTCCATTATAAGCATCTGTTATCATTTTCAAGCATGCCTGCTAAAAAAAAGAATTAGAACCTTAATTCTCCCTTAAAAGCTAACAGCAGACAGACATTTTATGGCCCCTTCACTAGGGAATCCAGGGTCATTTGCTGTAAGTGAGGTCTGCCCAGCTCTCCTACTCGGTTTTTAATACCATAGCAGGTTATATCTAATAATTAAGGATAAATGGCTGGTTTTTTTAATTTGCTGATGGGGGAGGGTGGCCACCTGTATATGAGATATTCCTTCTCAGTGGTGGCTAAGTGACAAGAGATCGCACAAAAGAAACTGAATTTCTTCATGATAAGTTAATTGTGACCACCCCTAACTTTTCTCGTTTATCAAAAAAGTCTCAGGTGTTAAACATTTACATAGCAGACCCTTATAATGGCTGTAGTTTTAAATTCGCGCTTCAGGGTAATGTTTACAAAGCCATAACACTGTCTGAAATCAGAACTTGTCTGTCCAGTGTTAGAACAATGAGCAAATGGAGACTCATTGAAAGAGAATAGAATTCTGTTTTCTTTTGATCATTTGATCTACTTGTTTTCAAAACTATAGCGAACGCTTTGAATAGTAAGGCCTGCCAATTTTCCCCCACGTAATGGCACTTTTACAAGCCATGTATTACCTGAGAAACAAGCAAATCACACGTCTTTACTGCTGAATCTCTTCCAACACCCCTTTGAGGGGCTCTTTTTTTTTGGTCCTTGCTCACTGTATAATGTCTAATTTAGACTGTTAACTGCTAATATGATATTCAGATGTCTGTGAAGTGTCATGCATAGTTACAGTGCTGTGTAAGCAACACTGATCTCAATAGTATTACTTAAGGTCCACTGCAATTACAACTGATTTACTAATTGCTCTGGTTAAAGTTTTCAGACTTATAATAAATAGCTTGCCTGTAAAATGCATTTAAGCTACCATAACCATCTATAAACCTATGTATTAATTAATCAGAGTCAAAAAGCATCACTAGAAAAGCTTCAGCCACCATGAAGTATTCATGCACTTTGCCCTTAAGCTCCAGTTTTCATTACAAAATTAGTTTTCATACAGTCATTTATTAGAGATATTATCAGCAGGAAAAAAATTATAATAGTACAGTATGAAACATTTGAACTTTATATCAGAAGAAAATCTAATTAAAATTACAGGATGTCAATAACGGCATGTTTCCTCTGGAAGAATAATGACAAAGGTACCAAATATCTTCAAGGTCAAGAAAAGGACAGACTGGTATCATGGTTAGCCTATTTGTGTAAGGTGCATAACGGATGACTAATGAAAAAATGCCTTCCACTTCTACCCTGGAACAGACTGGCCAAGCACAAGTATAGAGCAAACTAGGAGAAAAAAGAACAACAAAGCTCTCCAGTTCTCACCCAAGCTCTGCTGTTGATGCCCTGTGCAACTATTGGGCAAATCTATTAGCATCTTTATGCCTCAGTTTCCTAATGTAGGAAAACAAATACTATTTTTCTATCTGTCTGTACAAGAGCATTGCAAAGATTAAAAGCTTACTGACTGTACAGATCACAAGTTGTACAATCTATAAGCATGAGAGTTTGGCTATTGTTGCAATATTAATATCTAATGTAAGTGAATTCAGCAAGAGTCAAGTTCCTTACTTAACAAAGAATACTGAGGTTTACTTTTCTGCAGGCCCAAAACAACAGGCTGCTTTATTCAGGAGCAAACAACAACTAAGTGGGAAAATGAAAGTAACTCTGGAACAACAGAGGGTGGAGCTCTAGTTCTCAAGCTCCATCCCATAATAATGACTAACAATTTAACCCTATAATTGCCCAATTACTACATTCCTTCCCTCCCTAACATACAACCTGGACAGAATCTTTCAAATAACTAGGAGCTCTCCGTTCTCTGGCTGGATAATGCCCCTCCTCAGGAACAGGCTTCTCCTCTGGCCAGGGGAGTACATGTCTGTCTCCAGCATCTCTGACCTCCTGACTAGGAGAGTTTGTGGATAGTTCCAAATTACTGGGCTCAGAATTCTCAGTCATTCTACCCAATTCCAGGCCCTCCAAAAACCCCTCCTTCCCAGGCAATGGCTCTGGTCCCTCAGGTAGGTTGGGTTGTAAGCAGATGTTGTCCTGATGTCATCTCACCATTTGGCCATCACTGACTCCAATTTTAAAAGATAAGGGTCCCATTTGTTCTTGGAATCTGCCTGGAATCCAAGTAGGTTGGCCAGTATTGAAATGTTTTGTGTAGACAGGATCACATACCCCCAAAACTCTCTCTTTAGTGTGATAATCATGGTTGTGTTTTTGAAGGGTCTGTTTTTTCCACACTTCTTCCTCCATATTGGGATACAGTAAATCCAAATGAGTCTTGATCCTCCTTCCCATTAATAGCTGGACAGGGCTCATGCCTGTGATGGTTTGAGGTGCAACTCGATATTTCAAAAGGAATTGAGCCAATTTTGTCTCCAAACTTCCTCTGGTCATTTTTCTCATTCCTTCTTTGAAGGTCCTCACAGCTCTTTCTACAAGACCATTGGAAGCTGGGTGGTATGGTGATGTTTGAATGTGTTTAATTCCATTTTTACTAAGGAACTCCTTAAATTCATGACTAGTGAAATTCGGAGCATTATCTGTGACCAATAACACAGGCAATGTCTGTGTGGCAAAAGTCTGTCAAAGCTTGTCACAGGTTGCTTCTGAGGTTGTTGAGTTCACAGGGTACACTTCCAGCCATTTTGAATGAGCATCTATTATGATCAAAAACATTTTTCCTAAATAGGGTCCAGCATAGTCTAAGTGCAGACGAAACCAAGGCTGTCCTGGCCATTTCCAAGGATGCAAGGGTGCCTGTGCCAGAGACTGTTGACATACTTGACACTGGGGGTAGTGTTTGACCACCTTTTCCAGGTCTTCATGTAGGCATGGCCACCACACATAGCTGCAAGCTAAAGCTTTCATTCTGGACTTTCCAGGATGTGCCTCATGTAGTTCTGCCAGCATTTTCTGTCATCCTTGAGGGGGGACTACCACTTGCATGCCCCACAAAATATAGCCATCCTCTATGCTCAGTTCAGTACTTCTGGTCCAAAAGGGCCAAAGCTCTCCTCCCGAATTCTGTTTTGGCCAGCCCTGTAAGCGCTCTTCTGTAGGGGCTGAGTCTGGTAGTGGTAGTCTGCTCAGGGTGTCAGCATTCCCATGTTGATGGCCCACCTTGTAAAGAATCTTGTACTCATACATGGCTAGGGTCAAAGCCCACTACTGTAGTTGTGCCGCTGCCATATTGGGTAATGCTTTTTTTTTCTTAAATAAACCTCCAAAGGTTTGTGGTCTGTTATGATGGTAAAAGCCTTCCCATACAGATACTGGTGAAACTTCTTTAGGCCAAATATAATAGCTAAACTTTCCTTTTCCAACTGAGAATAACCCCGTTTGGCTTTGTTTAGTGTCCTTGAGGCATATCCAATAAGCCATTCTTCCTGATTGTTCAGTTTATGGGACAACACAGCCACTAGTCCATATGATGAAGCATTGCAGGACAGGATTAATTCCTTGCTGGGATCAAAACGAAACAAAAGCTCTGATGATTTAAGTAGCCTCTTAGATTCTCAGAAGGCTTCTTCTTGTCTACCTCCCCAGTGCCATGAGGCTCCTTTCCTTAAGAGGTGATGTAAAGGTTCCAAGAGAGCTGAAAGGTTTGGAAGGAACCCTACCGACCCCCAGCAGCAGCTGGAGGTAAGCAGGGCCATGGTGGGAGGGGACTAGCCCAGCTCAGCTGCAGCGAGGCGGCTGATTAGAAACCGGGGAGGGTCTCGCTACACCCCAGCCCCTAATTGGCCCAGCCTGCCAGGGGGACAGTAGAGGAGGGTAGGGGGTACTCACTGACCCCTCTCCAGGCAGGCAGGGTCCCCCAAATCCCTGGCAGGGCCCCCCCTTGCTCGGGAGTACTACAGGTGCCGGAGACGGGCCCACTGTGCATGTGCATAGTTTAAAAGAGCCCCGCCAAAGGAAAAAAGCCTCAGAGAGGCTTAGGGAGCAGCGCAAGATGCACGAGTGAAAGCCCTTCACACCCCCACACCCCAAAGCCCCTCAGTGACCCCCCATTGGTTGCAGAGCCCCCCCGCCAACACCCAGCAGCAGCTGGAGGTAAGCTGGGCTGTGGTGGGAGGGGACTAGTCCAGCTCAGCTGCAGGGAGGTGGCTGATTACAAACTGGAGAGGGTCTCACCCTGCCCTGGCCCCTACTTCGCCCAGCCCCACAGGGAGCCGTGCGACCGGAGCCTCGCGAACAGGCCGTGCAAACAGGCGTGCTTATCTGCCCGGCATGTGAGTTAGTGCAGAGTTTGCGCAGGAGGGTGAGTAGGAGGGCCTGAGGCCCTGCCTGTGTGCCCCTGCCCTAGGGAAGCGAGTCCCAGCTATAGCCAGTCCACCAGCAGCATGCCACAGATGGGCACAAGCTGCGCCTCACTCCTCGGGTCCCCTCGGGGTCTGTGTCCCCCCCCCCACACTGACTCCTCAAAGACCTCCACCCAGATGGAGCCCATGGTTCCAGGCTCCATGCAGATGGAGCCCCTGGCTCTCAGCTGCGGGGGCTGCCTGTTGCTTTTTCAGGCTCTGGGTCCTGGTAGCATGGCCACCTCTCCTTCTGAGGTATTCTCCCTACTGGGGTCTCTGGCGCTGGAGGAGCTTCAGGCCACAGTCCAGAGACTGCGTGCCATCAGGGACTATAAGCAGGAGATAGACTCCTACTGCCAGGCCCTTCTCCCCTGGGAGACAGAGGGTAGACCACAGTCTCCCTCCAGGACATGGGAGGATTCGGGGACCTCCCTTACTGTCCAGCCCAGGGGTTGGATCAAGGTGGTCAAGGGCCCCAAGGCCCACCGCACCAAGGCCCCTGTCCTGCTGGAGCTCAACAACAGGTATGAACCTCTTGCAGCCCCAGAAGAGCCTGCTGAGTTGTCAGCTCCCACAGGCAACATGGGCTCTACTGTAGCTACCACCCCTGTTCTCCCCAAGACCAAACGCAAAGTGTTTGTTGTGGGAGACTCCATCCTGAGAGGGACTGAGGGGACAATCTGCCACTTCGACCCCTTAGCCCAGGAAGTCTGCTGCTTCCTGGGAGCCCACTTCCGAGACATTGTGGAGAAGATCCCTAAACTCCTCCAACCCACTGACCACTATCCCATACTCCTTATCCATGTGGGCACCAGTGACATGGCTCGGAGCACTCCCAGCCAGGTCATGAGGCGCTACAGGGATTTGGGAGCTGGGATAAAGGGTCTGGGAGTGCAGGTGGTGTTTTCTTCGATTTTCCCAGTCTCGGACTATGGGCTGAGGAGGGAGAGGAGGACACAGGTAGTGAACCAAAGACTGTGGCGCTGATGTCATCAGGAAGGCCTTGGCTTCATGACCATAGTCTGCTCTTTGGTGAGAAAGGCAGTGAGCTGCTGGGAAGTGACGGCCTCCACCTCTCTCTGCTGGGGAGGAGGCTCTTCTCAGCCAGACTGACTGACCTGCTGCACCGGGCTTTAAACTAAGCCTGCTGGGGGATGGGGGGACTACTGCCACTGATGGCCCACTGAGCAACCCTTGCAAAGCCAGCGGGCCTAGGCACTTAAGGGAGTCCACCCCTGCCCTGGCCCTGGATCACTCTGTGGAGACACTTGCCTGCCTGTACACGAATGCCAGGAGCTTCAGGAATAAGCAGGAGGAACTTATCCTCCTGCTTAACACAAATAATTATGATGTCATAGGGATAACGGAGACCTGGTGGGACTCCACCCATGACTGGACCACAGGTATAGATGGCTATACCCTGTACAGGAGAGATAGAGTAAACAAAAGGGGCGGGGGTGTAGTTCTCTATGTCAAGGAGACCTACGCATCCCTGCAAGCCGATATTGGTGACCAGGGTGGATGGCTGGAGACCCTCTGGGTTAAAATCCGTGGGGAACACGGCACAGGGGACATGATGGTGGGAGTCTACTACAGACTTCCCACCCAAAGTCATGAGCTTGAGCAGGAGTTCACCAGGGAATTGGCTGAGGCCACATGCTCCCAGTCCATGGTGTCATGGGAGACTTCAACTACCCAGACGTCTTGTGGGAAGAGCGCTTGGCTAAATCCAAGTGGTCACAAAGCTTCCTCTCGTGCGTGGATGACTTCTTTCTGACTCAAGACCTTAAGGGGAGGGGAGTTCAGGAAGAGTGATTGCTCCTCAAGGGAGCGATCCTTGATGCACAAACTCAGGCTATTCCATCTCAGAAGAAAGGCAGCAAAAGGGCACAGCAGCCCCCTTGGCTCTCCAGGGAACTGGCAGACCTCCTGTGGCTAAAAAGAAAGGCCTACAAAGGATGGAAGATGGGATCCACCTCTAAGGAGGAATACTCCACACTGGTCTGGTCCTGCAGGGAGTGAACCAGGAAAGCCAAGGCTGCAATGTAACTCCAGCTAGCTACAAGTATCAAGGACAATAAAAAGTCCTTTTTCATATATGTGGGGAGCTGGAGGAAAAGCAAGGGCAACATTGGAAGCCTGCTAAACCAGATGGAACATCTGACAACCGACGCCCAAGAAAAAGCGAACCTATTAAATGGGAACTTTGCATCAGTCTTTCATCAGTCCCATGGGACACCCATGCCCATTACGGGACAGGGAGACCCGGGTGAGGGAGATTCCCTGACCTCCATCAATGCTGACCTCGTGAAGGAACACCTTGAGAGGCTTGACACCTTCAAGTCAGCCGGCCCTGACAGTGTACACCCCAGGGTACTCAAGGAGCTGGCTAGCATCATAGCTCAGCCCCTGGCATGGGTCTTCAAGAATTCCTGGTGCTCTGGTGAAGTGCTCAAAGACTGGAAGAAGGCCAATATGGTACCCATCTTCAAGAATGGGAGGAAACTACAGGCGCATCAGCCTGACGTCTATCCTGGGCAAGGTCTTGGAAAAGATTATCAAGGAGGCCATCCTTAACAGAGTAGCTGATGGCAATATCCTGAGGGATACCCAGCATGGGTTTGTTGCGGGTAGATCTTGCTTGACCAATCTCATTTCCTTCTACAACTCGGTGACCTATCATCTGGACAAGGGAGAAGAGATTGATATCATATATCTTGACTTCAAAAAAGCATTTGATCTGGTATCCCATGATCACCTCTTGGCAAAACTGGCCAACTGCGGCCTTGGGTCCACCATGATCTGCTGGCTGGGGAATTGGCCCTGTGGTCAGACCCAGAGGGTGGTGGTTGACGGAAGTCAATCATCATAGTGCCCTGTGACCAGTGGGGTCCCCAAGGCTCTGTCCTTGGACCTGTATCGTTCAACATCTTCATTAATAATGTGGACATTGGAGTCAGAAGCGGACTGGCCAAGTTCGTTGATGACACCAAACTCTGAGGCAAAGCATCCACACCTGAAGACAGGAGGGCGATCCAGGCTGACCTTGCCAGGCTCAGGAATTGGGTGGATGAGAACCTGAATGTATTTAACACTGAAAAATGCAAGGTTCTCCACCTTGGGAGGAAAACCCTGCAGCATCCTTATAGGCTTGGCAGTGCTACGCTGACTAGCACTACAGATGAAGAGGACTTGGGGGGTCATGATTGCCCACAAGATGAGCATGAGCCTTCAATGTGATGCTGTGGCTAGTAAAGTAAGCAAAACACTGGCTTGCATCCATAGATGCTTCTCAAGTAAATCCCGGGATGTCATTCTCTTGTTGTACTTGGCCTTGGTGAAGCTGCAGCTGGAGTATTGCATCCAGTTTTGGGCTCCACAATTCAAAAAGGATGTGGAGAAGCTTGAAAGAGTCCAGAGAAGAGCCATGAACACGATCAGAGGTCAGGAAAGCAGACCTTTTGATGACAGGCTGAGAGCTACAGGGCTCTTTAGGCTGGAAAAGCGCAGGCTCAGGGGTGATCTGGTGACCACTTATAAGTTTATCTGGGGTGGTCACCAGGATCTGGGTGAACGACTGTTCACCAGAGCACCCCAAGGGATGACAAGGTCAAATGGTTATAAATTCCAGCAAGACCGTTTCATACTGGACATAAGGAAGAATTTCTTTACTGTCCGAGCCCCCAAGGTCTTGAATAGCCTGCCATCAGAGGTGGTTCAAGAACCCGCATTGAACGCCTTCGAGAGAAATTTGGATGCTTATCTTGCTGGGATCCTATGACCCCAGCTGACTTCCTGCCCTTGGGGAGGGGGCTGGACTTGATCTTCCGTGGTCCCTTCCAGCCCTAATGTCTATGAAATCTGTGAACTGATGATAATAAATCAACATTCCCAGATATGCCCGAACCTCTGACGTGTTTTGTGGGGCCAGTGCCTTTTCAAAGCTGTGCCTTTATCTGCCATGGGGTGAACTCCCTCCTTGTTGATCTTATATCTTAAGTACTGCGCTTCAGGCCTCATGAAAGAGTATTTCTTTTGTTTCAAACATAGCCCTGCTTTTTCCAGTCTTTGAAATACTCCCTTTAGTGTTGCTAGGCGTTCCTTATCACTTTTTCCCATGACGAGGATATCATCAATCCTCACCACTACCTCTGGAATCTCCTTTAAGAGGTTTTTCATGACCCTTTGGAATATGTCAGGAGCTGATGAAACTCCATAAGGCAATCCATTATATTGGTACATTCCCTTGTGGGTATTTATTCTGGTGAATTTCTTACAGTGCTCCTCGATTTCCATCTGTTGATAAGCCTGGGACATGTCCAACTTGCAAAAATGTTGGCCTCCTCCAAGCACTGCGAGCAAGTCCTCAGTGTCTAATGTAGAAACTTGATTGTCTACGACTTTATAGTCTCCCCAGACATGGATGGTTCTATCAGACTTGGCCACTGGTACAATGGGTGTTGCCCATTCTGCAAACTACACAAGGGAGACAATGCCTTCCAATCTATCCAATTCTGTTTCAGTTCTCTCTCTCAGGGCATATGGAACTGGCCTGACTTTGAAATATTTTGGCTGGCTACCATCTTGGACATAAATCCTAGCCTTTATTGTCTTCAATATACCTAACTCCTCTTGGAATACTGCAGGGTAGGCCCCCAGGATTTCTTTTAGGGTGGGCATTTCCAGTAAGTCTAACTTATATATTTCGTCCCAGTCTGGTCTGAATTTTTGAGCCATTTCCTACCACACAAGTTTGGCCTTTTTCCTTTTACTACTAAGGCCTTTAAGGTTTTCTGTTGTCCTTTATATGCAACAGGGACACTTACTGATCCTATTACTGGGGTGTAAGTCTTTAGTTTCACTCTTGTCTTTTCCAATGGACTCAGGCCTGCTTTACATTGTTGATAAGTCTCTGCATTAACCACTGTGACAGAAGCCCCTGTATCTGTTTCCATGCATACAGGTTGATTATATAACTATACAGTTACTCTGTAAGGTTCCACTTTATCCTCCATTACACACTATACAGTGTATACCTCTTCATCTGCCTCCTTTCCCTTGTCCTCCTGTACATGATAAACTTTTTGCTTTCTTCCCTTTTCTTTGGCCTGACTGTGTTGTGCAGCTGGATAGCCCCCCTTGCATTTTTTTGCTAATTGTTCCATCTTTCGGCATTTATGGCACTGGAACATTTTGGGTCTTCAAACTGAGGCTGAATGCACGCCTCCACAGCAAAAACATCTCTCCAAGTCTCTAAACTTTTGTTGAGAGCTTTGCACTTGGTTTATGGGCTCATGTTGAGTTTCTTTATTCTCTAGATGTAAATCCTGTACATTTTTCACTGCTGCTTCCATGGCAATTGCCATCTTTACAGCTTTGTCCCAGATCAGGCCCCCATCTGCAAGTAATTGTTTTTGGATTTTTACATCACCAACTCCACAAACAAATATGTCCTCTAGGTCATTTCCAAAAGAGCTGTGTTCAGTTAGCTTTTTGAGCTCAGCGATATACTCTAAGATAGATTCAGCTTCCTTCCTCCTTCTGTTATGGAAATTGAAATGTTCTACAATAGTGTTTGGCTTTGGAGTATAATGTTCAGATAAGATCTTTTGCAACTCAGCCAAATTTTTATCTCCTGACTTTAGAGGTTGCAACAAACTTCTTAAAAGGGAATATGTTTTGCTGCCACAAACACTGAGAAATATTGCTTTCCGTTTGTCCCCGTCAGTGATTTCATTAGCTTGAAAATAATGGCCCAATCTCTGAATATCTTGCTGCAGATCCTCAGTGTCTGGATTAAGTTCCTCAAATTTCCCAGAGGAAGACATAGTTGGATTTTTTCATCACCACTGTTAATTTCCTTAACAAAGAATATTGAGACTTAATTTTCTCCAGGCCCAAAACAACAGGATTTTTATTCAAGAGCAAACAACAACTAACTGGGAAAACTAAAGTAACTCTGGAACAACAGAGAGTGTAGTTCTAGCTCTCAAGCTCCATCCCATGATAACGACTAACAATTTAACCCTATAATTGCCCAATTACTACACCAAGTATGTTCTCTCTGAGCAGAACTGGGCCTATACTGTCTGTTTTTAATGAGAAGTTTCCTGGTGGGGAAAAATGGTTCCTGAAACACTGGAGTTATCATATAAAGAAAAAATTGAGTAAAATTCTTAGAAGTACTTTATCGACTTGAGAGCCCGATTTTCAGTGACTCTTTTTGAAAATGTGACTTGGGCTCTTAAGTCACTCAAGTAACTTTGAGCATTTTAGCATCACACAGGACACTGGGCAAGATGGACCTATAGTCTGTTACCTCTCAGCTCCATGTTCTTGGGGAACTCTGGCATAGGACACAGCCTGTCTGACTTGCAAAGAATTTCCACCCCCCCACCTCTACCTGATCAAGAACTAATTACAAAAGAGAATGAAGATGCAGTGGGTGACACACCTAAAGCCCTCCAGATAAGGGTGACAAAAATGAAGAACTCCCCATGTCTCATTTGCATCCGAAATGGAACCAGATGGCAACTCATGTAAATGGGAGATGGGACAGGAATGCACCTGCATTAGCATTCACGATAGAGAACAGAGATTCTAAGGCAAGGACCGCACTGAATTCTGGGATCAGAAAAGCAGGGGAGCACTGCATGATGGGGAATCTGTGCTCCAAATGCTAATCAACCCAAATTTACACACACCCAGCTCAACATTTATCAGACCAATTCTAATCTGGATTTACAAAGGACTTTTTCTATTCCCCCCCTTCCCCCCACACACACCCCTCATCTAACCAGAACTAAGCAGAAGTAAAGTTTAATAGGCATCTCAGGCCGTACATTCCCCGGTCCCACTATGGGAGGCCTATTTAAATTTGATTGACTAAAACTCAGTTGCTGGGTTAGGGAATGCTGAGGCAAGAGACTGAGTCAGAGGGGTACGGGCAACATTTGAACAATGGTAAAGGGTTTATCACAGTGTCCAGCCCATTGGACCCCTGACCACAAATGCTGTCATACTTTTCCCGGGATGACTAGTGGAAGTCCTCCCCACAAAGTTTATGAACACTCCAATAATCCCCTTCAGTCAGTTAAAAGACTACAGTAAGTTCTGGAAAAGCCATGCTAAGCTGAGGTTTATTCACAACAGGTAAAATACAAAACCCTCACGCTGCAAGCTATCTGAGAAGAAATAATGAGGTATCCCATCCAGTTTATCTGCTATCCATAAGAATTTCAAGCTGGCTCCTAAGTGTCAGGTTACTCCTTAAAAGCTTATGTTTTTCCTGGTTGCTAATCAGTTTCTTGAGATGTTCCAAACCAGATAACCCCTTGTCAATAGAAAAGACAATTATTCACACAATTAAAAGTATACTTTAAAGAATCTGAACTGAGGGTTTAAAAAAGGTGTAAAATCGACAGACAGTGTACTTCAAGAGAAGAAATCTCTCTGACACTGTCCGCTTTTGTTCTCGAGAAGCTAGAAGAAACAAATTGTCTCCCTTCAAGGATTGTGCTAAGAACTTTACCTGTCAGCATTGGAACCTGAGTGCCTTGGACTGGTGAGACCCCAGCTTTTGCTCTCTCTTTTCTCTTTAGGCATAGATTTCTGAACCTGAACTGTATTAGTTAAGCTTGAGCTAAGTTTCCCCAAATATTTAGTGAAACCAGGGTAGTATTGTAATTGTTTTGATTGTTTTCCTCTGCATGTCTATTATTACTAGTACCATTATACATTTCATATACTTAGCAATAAATAACTTTTATAGTCAAACTGGTAGTAACCAGGTGTATTTTTTTTCTTCTCTACTTCTTCTTCCCCACTTGCTCTGCAGCAACACTTCTTTTACCTAAGCTAAAGATCCCTGTGAAGCCCAGAAATACTGTGGGGTCTGCTCATCAAGAGGCTACCACTACTAGAACAGTTAGGCCAAAAGATTGGGATGTGCTGAATTTGAAACACATAAGGGGATCAGCTTGTACAGGCTGATTGACCCAACTTGGCTCAGACGTGCCCATATGAACTGAATACTGGCCCATGAGGGTGTCAGCTGGACACCCAGCTGGATTCAGAGGTATTCCCTTTACCTGTGTGCTTGTGTCTGGCTGATTTTATTGTTACCTTAATGAACTGATTCCTGGCATATGAGGGTGTCAGCCTGTCCATGCTGATCAACCCAGCCACGTCAGGCGTGTCACGTTAATCTGCATGTGTTTGTGTGTATGACTGATTTGGTGACTGGAGGAACCCAGATCCATTGAAACTGAGTCCTCCAAGATAGCTCCATTGGGGGTGAGGACTTGCAGAAGGGAGATATACAGCTCCGTATAGAAACACAAGTAACACAAGCAGCACATTGATAGAATTACAAAGACCCTAGAAACGTATCCCTAATAAATGAGCACACCCCAAAGTGATGGGCACATTTGGTAACATCTGACCCAGTGAATGGCAACTCACATGTTCTTCTGTATTCAAGGTTGTATTTGTCACAAGACCCTGAGCCAGCATAAATCTTCAAGTGGATATACTAGGTCTGGGAGGATGGAAACCTCTCTCTCTCCCTTCTCACCTCCCACTTCAGAAACCACAGGCAGTGTCTTATCTGACCTTGCTGCTTTCCACTGGAACCTTCCTTTTTGACCTGAATACTTAACTAAGAATAAAGTAAGATGTAACAAGAAACAATTTATTTCTCACATTTCAGTATTGAGGATTTAAATAAAAGATAGAAAGGCTTTTTTCTTTTTACTTGGTTTCAGTTGTTTTGATGAGGAAACAGAGGAAAAAAAACAAAAAACAACACACACCAATGCAGGAAGATGCCCAATAGATTAAGCAATCATGCAAGAAAACAATGAATCAGTAGGTCTGCTGTAAACTTCACAAAGCCTCTATTTTCTAGCACACAATAGTGTCAAAGAGTTAATAGAAGGTAAAAATATGAAATTGTAGGAACAGGAAAAGACATTGACCTTCTTAAATATATTAAAATCTCATCTTTCAGCTTTTTCATCATGCCCCTTGACAGTCTTTACCTCATTCAGAACCACATTGAGATCTTTCTTGAGCTCATTAATACTCTTTGCTTAAGTTGCCTTTCCTAGTAACTTATTCCATATGTCTATCAGCCTTTGTGTGAAGAAGTATTGTCAGAGTTCTGCATTTCTTAAGGTCAATTTGCCCATAATTTAGCCCTTTATCAGGGTGGGAAAGCAATGGTAATTTTTATATTGTTCCTCACTAATACATCTACTTTTTGCTCACTGATAATTTATTTATTAAATATTTTGCCACTATTGTTCCCCCTCAAAACTAGCTCTCTCCTCTCCCCGCTAACTATATTTTATTGGTTACATGCTAAGCTACTACAATGAATTCTGGTCTCTTCCTCTATCCACTCCAAGGCTAGGGACAGACATTCAAAAAGCTGGAGCCTGAACTGATTTAACCTCTGCAGGTTAATCTAACCTACCTAGTTTGAACTGGTTTGAAACTAGACAAACACTCTCTGGAGTGAGGCAATGTGGGCACATGCCTGCAGTTGCTCAGGCCAGGCACAGGGGGCACTAGAGCCAGCCCTCAGCTGCAGGGAAGCTGTGCTGGGACGGTGTGGCCAACCCAGGCTGAACTGCCCAGAGAGGGGTTTAATTCCCCCTCCTTATACCGCCAGCAGGGACCCGACCTGGGTCTGCCTACACTCCCCCCTTGCTGCTGCAGCAGGGAGACACCATGGCCCTTGAGGCAGAGAGGGACAGGGAGCAGAGTTAGTTTCCACTCTACCCCACTGGAAGGTGGGCCCAGCCCCTGCTGCTCTTTCAGTACTCGGGCAAGCCACTGAGGGGGCTTATTCAGCCGCTGCCTCTGAGACTTGCACTCCTGGAGGGGTACCTTGCAGCCCCAGGGTTCCCAGCCAGTGGATGCCCCACCTCCATTATTCCCCCCAAGCTTCAGCTGTGGTCAGGCTGGGCAGATGTCTGCTGCAATGCCAGCAGCCAGCTGCTGCATAAGC